GGTCGTGTTCCCCGGGTTGGCAGTGATACAGCAGGCCATGTACCTGTTAGCTAAGACTCATATGTCCTTTCATATGCAACTGGTCGTGCTAAACGTACTTTTTATTGTTACTAGGCGATAGGTTTAACTAAAAGGAATTTAGTAGTGAGTGTAACATACCTCCGTGCTACTCAGAAGAATGTGACCGTTAAAGACTCAGTGGCTCAGTTAATGATTCAGGAGACAGTCTTATTTCTATACCAGCCACACTTGCTATGTGAAGGATTAAAGATTTTATACACCGAATCGAAATATGGCGACCAATTTGAATAACTATTGTTCTGCACTGACTAGCGACTGACTAGCCTCGTGTTCACGTGGAAACATAAAAGCATTTTCACATGTATGAGAGGCTAGTCAGTCGCTGGTCAGTGCAAAACAATAGTTACTCAAATTGGTCGCCATATATTGCCATGTCGCCATTGGTTCGGTGTATAGCTATTTTTCTGAGGTTTTTCTGTCTTTCTAAAGGCAAAGCTACCAAGACACTTCGCGAAATATAAAATAAAATATTTTCCCAAACGCCCAAAGTAGAATAAAACCCATGCTTAACTTCGTTCCAATTCATCTAAGCTATAAGTGAGTTATGATCAAACCGACCAAATGTACGCATGTTTTCTTTTTTCAAAAATGAAATATGATGTCATAAAATGAAATATGAGGTCATCACGCATATCAGTAAACTATCCATTTCACAACTTAGTTTTATGTATGAGCGTAAAATATAAGAAAAACGTTAACGTCTAAGAGGTTTTAACCAAGAGAAAATGAACTAAGAGAAGGAATCCGCGTGCCCCATCATGTGCACAATTTGATGCTATTTTTAGAATCATTGATGCTATTTTTAACTCGTTACCATACCCGCGCGATAATCAGGCTTCCCTTTAATGCCTCGTTTTAGGACACGAAAAGCGCCATATTTCGTTTCGTCCACGACAAAAACACAGGCTTTTGTTTACTGCAAGACTGGAAGCCGCCTACCCTTAAGAAATCAACCAATCAGGTTCTTCGCTTAAATTATCTCCAAGCTAAAAATAGCATCAAACTGTGCACATGATGGTTACAAGGCTATATAGGTAGGATTCCTTCTCTTAGTTCATATTCTCTTGGTTTTAACCCTTTCCATATAGCAACCGTGGCTGAATAGGTAAGACGACACTCTCCCTCTTCCTAATGTTGAGCTTGACGAAATATTTCAAGTATTAGTCAATTGCTATATTGGATATCCTATTCCTGGCAATCCGGACTTCGCTGAGTCACGAGTAAATCATTAACACCTTATTTTTATCTAAAATATTCCCGGAACTCAGATGAATATAATCAGTTCTGTAAACCATAACTAAGAATTTTCTCAGTTGAAACTCACCACTTTCATGGCTCTATCAGACAATGTCCAATTTGAAGTGATCAATCGCAAAGCTGAATTCTACAAACCTTTTCAAAACGATGAAGTACTGGCAATTGAAAGAAATATAAAAGATTCCGTGTCGAAGATTATCGCGAGAACGACGATAGAAGATCCCAGTTTTGAGTTCAAAGATGTCATTCTATCAGGAAGCATCGCTGAAGGACTCCAAGTTAGACATTACGATTTTGACTTTCTTCTTGTTTTGAAAACGAAGTTTGAACTAAAAGAAGATGACACTTTAAAGCCTGGTTTTGTGAACATAATCTTGGAACAGAAACTTGACCCGTTTAGGTTACGGAGAAGATTTTATCGAGCTTTGATGAAAGCGTTACGAAGCCTTCACCTCACCGACAACGTCCTTGTAACTCTCAAAAAAAAAAGCAGTTTCGGTTAAACTGCAAATTGTCGATGACACGTTGGCCTGCTCACATACAGATGTCGACTTGGTACTCGCTCTTCAACCTCCTCTCTCATTTTGGCCGAGATGCTCAAAGAAATGGAAACTGGAAAGATCACTCCACAAAGGACTTCCGGCGGAAGTGATAGAAGAGATTGTAGCTAATGGTGTGTATTTTGTACCAAGGTACGAGTTCGTATCAGGCAAACAAGAACAATCTCACTGGCGTGTTTCGTTTTCAGCTGCTGAGAGTGTCATTATCAGGAAAATGACACTAGCCCAGAGAAGTGCGTTCAGAATGATGAAGGTGATCTTAGAAAGACAAACAAAAAAGAGCATCCAAGACAAAGAAACAGACGAATGGACTAAAAGCTTCGTTGATAAAATGACAACTACCTACCACATTAAAACCATTCTTCTTCACCTGAATGAAGATGCCTCGCTGTCTAAATTAGAAGAAAGACAATACTTGATTTGTATATTGAAAGCGTTACTGCACTCTCTCAAGACCATGCATCTGACACACTACTTTATTCCTGATATTAACCTTTACTCTGAATTGAAAGAGAATCCAGCATTTAGAAATTTTCCTGAGTTAGCGGAGATGTATAAATTTTCTATACAACAGTATGAAGAATTGCTAGAAAATTTGCCAGAGGATTTGTCAGAACTTAAGAATGAAGCAGAACCCGGCCGAATAGTGATATTAATTCCTCCACATGAGGAAGCATATGTCATGAACGATGAAAACCCTTATATAATTTCTTAAACAAGTTTATTTTAAGCATGCCTTTTTTGTGAGTCTAGGCTCTACCTCTCATTCGCACTTCAAAGCGGCCCATTTCTGTCCTGGGCTCTACTTCATATTGGGATGAGTCTGCTAGTAAACGTCAAACAGCATCGGAAAAAGAAAAAAAAAAAACCTCTTGATTCTAGAGATCACTGGTTGTTCGTGTAATCAATATATGAGGCCAGCGAGCACAGTCAAGTTCCCCGCGACATATAGTTTTTTTCCAAATTCAAGCATTGTAATTGGCTGGTACTAATGTTCTCAGTTGAGATTGGCTTGTAGTAGGTCAATTATTTTATGACTCTTATGATTGACAAATGCTGGTAATGTCGGTAAATGTTGGTTAATCTGAAGACTCGTTGTAGCCAGAAATCCCTAATTTCATTTGGGTTAGAGTCAATTTATTTCCGCATATTCAGCATATGCTCTAGGTTAACAATTATGCAAAGCTATATTGTCATCTGATCGTGAATATATCTACAGCGTAATAAACTCCAATTTCTGCATATGAGCGTTAGAGCTCTTACTGTTAGACTCTAAACTTGATTGAGGCAAAGGGCTTCAAGGCAATGTTGTTTATAGAACAGTACAGTCTCTGTTCTAGGTTTTGTCATCATCTTGTGTCAAGCTAAATAAATCATCGTCCATCACTGACCTTAAGAACTGATGGCTTAGGAATAAAAAATGTAGAAAAAATTTCCCAAAATCAAAAACGAATGACATAACAAACTGGGACATGTTCTCGGGAGGTCCGGGAAGGAGATGGGAGATGGGAGGGTTGGGAAAGGCCATGGAAGAATAAAAAATTAACCTTTCACGCACTTTTCTCCTAAATCATGTGTAATAACTTGCCCAATTCATCACAAGGTTTTTTGTAGCCGGTGGGGGGATCCTAAGAAGGGGGAGGAAAAAGATAAAAAAGTAGCAACTATTTTTGACGGGGGCATCATAAATAAAATATAGTGTCTCATAGGGAGGATCAGTGAAAATGTATGATGCTTCAAAAAAAATCCTCCCCTCCCCCTTCAGGCACAGGTAGCCCAAGCTTGGTTTCTGTGGTGTCCTGTTATAAGGAAATGTATGGAGATTCATCAAAACTTTCAATAAAATCATTGAAACGTGAA